TATTTGCTATATTTTATGAAGGGATACATACAGAAGAATAATATGAAAAATAAATTGGATGCTAGCAGCATTCTTGAGGAATACAATCACAATCACAAGCAATTTGGAGAAACTAAAGTTCATATAATCTACATTTTCACCATAGATCTTCCTTTTGAAGTAAAAAGGTCTTGTTTGTAGAGAAGAGTTTCTTGTGTTTATCATTCCAGCGATGAACATGCTTTTGTAGGAGCCATTTTGACTACAGTTTCTTTTTTCTTTCAATCATTCAATACTAATTTATTGAATGTCTCCTATATGCCAGAAAGTCGAAAAGGTACTGAGGTATTGGGAATCAAATTATATCTTGACATTTCTGTGATTTTTAAACATTAAACATATGGGTTAATTTCAGCATGTTTTAAAATACATAATTATTTATTTACATAATAGGAACCAAAGTATGCACATATTAAAGTATGTACTCATTTGAACATTAGTTGCAAAAATGTATTTAGTTTTTATAACTAAATACATACTTAAAGACTTTTCTCTGTTTTAAATGCTGAAAAAAGTATAACACTTTTTCTTATAGTAAAAAAGACAAAACTTACAGATTATATAATTATTTGTTAATATTACTTTTCCAATAATACTCATTTTGAATGTCTTTCCATAAAGACAATCACCTACACAACTCTTCAGCTGGCTAATACGAATGGTGAGAAAGTCTGTAAGTGCCATAACATAAGATGGGTTAATCACACACTCTTTTCTAGTAGCTCTCCAAATTGTGTGCTTCCCCCATCTATTTCCTAAGAAAATCCACCATGAGAGAAGATTGCTAGAATAAGTAATATGTGCTTTGTATTTCTGAAGAGAAGAAACAAAGGACTGAAGAGAAACACCGGATTATGAGAGAAGACAAGCACTTTTTGAGTGTAATGTGCGTAAAATTGTATGCCTTGGAAGAAAGACAAATTGTCAGCAGGATACAAAGTAAAGATTCTTTGCTCAGAAATACCCTAAGTAGGTGATTAGTTGTTTTATTGTCTTCTCTCTAACACAAGTCTTCCCTGTAAACTGGCTGAATGAAGAAAGCTCTACTTGAGGATGCCACAATTTCCATCCCAAATCAGGCCAGAAGTGATGGAGGTGGGGTGAGAAGGAAGATGAGAGGGCAAAAATGTGGCATTGGTAAGCCCTGAGGTTTAACCTCTGGAATATTTAGGTCATCTCCTAGGGAGAAAATATCACTAATGAGGAAATTGAAACCTCAAAAGAAAACAAAAAGTATAGAAGGCTATAAAAGTCACGCTGGAACTAAGGTGTGACTGGAATAGAGAAAACTATTGATTCACTTGTACAAAATTTGGTCACAGAGTATCTGTGAACCCAAACAAGAAAATACAGACAGTAGGACGAAGTTAAGACTTAGAAAAGATTAACTATAACTGGCGATTCAGAAAAATTGAATACAAGACACTCAAAAGAAGGCAGCCTCACTAAATTGCTTACAATCACTAATTTTTCTTACTTTCTTTTCTATCAACATCTTTTTAAAAAAGTCATATCATTTGCTTAATTTAAGCTAAGTTTCTTCTAAAACTGAAATTATCAATTATGTACCTATTTACTGACTCCTAAAACTGTGCAAAAATTATTGCAAGATAACCGTGGATATTTTTAACTTTACTCTCCTGTGTGATACAATGAACTTTGTTGAATTTTTTGTCTATCTTACTTCTAATGTGCTTATACATCATTAATATTTGTTTTCCTATATATTTTTGTTTTTCTATATTTCTATAATTTTCATTTTTTCCTGTATTTTTCCATGAAAAAGTATCACCTTAAAAATCAGTCTAACCATGGAAACATACATACACACACAGAGCCTTTATAAAGAAAGAAAATATCAATAACATTTTTTCCACATATCAATATTAAGAGGAAAGCATTCATAAACACTAAATATCTCACTATATATACTGAAGTTTGTCATCTTAAATTCAAAATGAAAATGAATATTACTGAATTGTATAAAAAATAGAACCTAACATTATTTATTTGTTTCACTGTTTACTCAAAAGTTTTCAAATATTAATATTGAATCCTAAATCTGAAGTTTGCCTTCTGCTAATACAACAGGGGTCTTTTAACAAGCATATTAAGTACAAAGATTTTCTCTTATAATACAGCTAATTTAAACAACTTCTTAAGTTACTACTTAGATAAGAGGCTCATTCTAAATTGTGGCTGGTATTTTGATAGCACAAACTAGTTTTTGCCATAAAGCTTCATTAGGTGTTTGGGAAAACAAAAGTTTGCAGTGATTCAGCTGCTTTAAGAAAAGAATACAAACCTTTTAAAAGTAAGTAGCAAAAGAACTAAGAAAAAGGGCCTTTCATCTTTCACTTGCTTTCACCATGTGCCATTACTGTACTGATGAAAATTATAAGAGTTAAATATTGAACAAAGCTGATTAACTAATGAAAATACAAAGGGAAAAATCTATGGGGAGAACCATAGCTAGGTCCTTAAGAAGAGGAATTAGAGAGAGACTCAAGTTTCGGCGCTGCCATTTTCTAGCTAGTCTACATTCTACAGGAGACATTCACTTATCCAACGGAGCTTCAGTTTCCTCTTCAGTAAAATGGTGATACTCATGCCTAACGGGGAGGATACCGTGAGAATTAAATAGAATAATGTACGTAAACATGTAACCCATGTAGTAAATGACATGTAGTAAGTGCCAATAAATGATAGTGATCTTAAATAAGTGAATCTTTTCAGCATTGGAAAAGTCTGTGTCTTTTATGCTAGAGACAAGGAAAAGAGCTCAGTGTTGATCTAAATCACGACTTACTACAGATTAGGAAAGGTCTGTAAGGTGAGATCCTGACAATTTTAATAGCTCACCTGAGCTAAGGACCCAGGCTTTTTGTTAAGTAACCAAAATATATTTGAAACCCGGGCTCCCTTATTTCTGGTTGTCTTTCTACTAAACCAACCTACCTTTCCAATGAGTCACTATAGTTTATACTTTCTTCTGGATTATTTGCTTTAAAAATCATGTTAAATTTACTAAAAGAATTCCCAATTATGATCATACTTTTAACTGAAGTATACCGAAGATAATTTAAATAAACACAATCATGCTATACCATACAAATTAAACTGGTATAAAATCTGGCAAGTGGTTGCACCTAAGTCCGTAATTCTTATTTAATGAAAAAACTTGAATAAATACTTTAATATAATATGGACATACTTCTAAGGCAATAAGTAAATTTTCAGGATTACCAGAAACCTGTAAATACAAGATATTCAGGAATCAAATTGACTATCTCTGGAAATTTTTAAGAGAGAAAGGAAATCTGTGGTAAATCCTAATTCTTTTACACAAAAAGTGTTTGAGCAAGCTCTTATTTATGTTGAAATGATTTAAGTAGATGACTTTTCTGGAATGAGTTTGGCAGAGGATTTTCAAGTAGCTATCCTCAAAGAAATTCTGAAGAAATACAGAAAATTGAAGAGACAGCTGTGACAATCTTTAATTTTTAAAAATTGTGAAAAAAATCTGTAATTTGACATTTCTATTTTAGCTTTCATGTTTCAAAAATATGATTGTAAGCTTCCTAAAATTGTCTTTAAAAATGAGGTATACTTTGTTGTATACTTTTATCAAATGCTTTTGGAAACAGCTCTTCTACATATTTCAAAAAGATCTTATTATGCAATCCAAATATAATTGTCCTAGTTCCAAAATGGCCTACAAATGTTATTTCTTTAACATATCACTAATGAATAATAAATGGTCAGGATGAGCTTTATATTTTCCTAGAAGGGTCTCTGGAGATAACAATGCAAGAAGCATAACCTCAATCGAGATTTCAATACACTTACGCTTTTTGATTACAAAGAAAATTAGTTTACAAAACTTCACTCGATAAACTTTCTCTAATCAATCACACAATAAATAAAGCAAAAATAAAATTTTCTGTTATTTTTTCATTATTATTTTAAAATTTTAATGCATTTCTTGCTGGCCAAATTGTTATTATTGGAATATGTACACTGACAGCTCACAAGCAATGTGCTGCTTCTTAAATAAGCATAAATGAGGCAAGTCTAGAACTATCTTTTGGCTCAGTAAACTTGCTGGTCCCCAGACACTTCACTTCTTCTGAGATGTCAAAGGAAGTTGGAATCTGGGATTTGTTTATGATCCCAGGTGTTTTATGCCTCTGGGATCAGCTGAATATGTAAGATGAGAATACAGGATTTCCTGAGTGATCTTCACTAAGAAATCTCATGAATAATTAACTAGTTAGATCAAAAATATTTTATTTGAGATGGTGATTCTTCCTTTGGGTAAAAAAGTCAGAAAATGTTTCATTTTTGATTGTTTGATTCTTCATTATTCCTGGAGAAAAAAATAAGCTGTTGGCATACACCCTATCTGACATAAAGGCTGAAAAGACAGGCTTTTTGAGGCTGTAAAAGATACATTCTGAAGAGTGCTTTAGTTCATGGAATCCTTGTATTTTATTTTCAGTCTGCTCCCTCTGAATGAATATATTTTTAATCTTCCAAATGTTGATAGCACAGAAAGGTTAGATATAATCCTTCCATCAAATTGAAAATTTATCAATTTCTATACCACTATCTATACAAGCATATTATTTACTTTTGCCTGGACCTGGAAGGATGTAATGTTGACATACCACTCTTTCAACCTTTTTCTAAATACTTATAGTCTTGTATAAAAGAGTTTTAGAATAGGTACTGATGTACAGAAATGTATACTCCAAATTAAATGCTGTAGTATTATGCAGCAGCATCTAATCCTTCCAATGGTGGGGAGGGTTTATTATCTGGAAAAATTAAAATTATCCAGTTTTGTTTTTCACATAATTTATGAGATTATTTTTATGTTTTCTTGGAGAATATTTTGTCAATGCATGCAAAACAAAGTTTAACTTATTTTTATAAGAAAATTACAGGAATATACATACTGTAAGGGACACATTCATACTGCACTTCAAGGTATTTATAGGTTCCCGGACACGGGTCTGGAAAAACATCAGGACCTGCCACCACTGCACACTGGGTTCTGTTATTGCACCTGAAGGCAAAAGAAAAGAAAAGAAGAAATAGTAAGTTATGCAAACTTAAATCATCATTAACATCAATACTAATTTCACTTTAGCTCCTGTTATACAGATTTAAATAAGGTTTTGGTCAATTTAGTGTTTCAGACTTATGAAGGAAATATCTGTAATATACTTTTAAAAAATTAGACATAAAAATCAATTCATTCAGTTTATTCATATTAACTAATTTAATACTTGATTGAACACAGCATGATTTTGAGTGAAGAGTTAAATAGTGCTTAAGCAACAATAACTGGTCCACAGGATACTGTTAATGTGAAGACAGGTAAGAAAGATTATTTGGTAGGAAAGATTCACTCCTATTAAAAGAAAAAAAAGGGGGCCGGCCCAGTGGCATAGTAGTTAAGTTCACGTACTGCACTTTGGCAGCCTGGGGTTCGTGGGTTCAGATCCCAAGTGTTGACCTACGCACTGCTCATCAAGCCGTTTTGTAGTGGCGTCCCACATACAAAATAGAGGAAGACTGGCACAGATGTTAGTTCAGGGACAATCTTCCTCATCAAAAAAAAAATTAAGAAAATGTAAACACAGTTTTATTAGACAGTTATAAAATAAATTCATTGATTATTATGGCATTCATTTTGAAGGCAGGGAAAATATGGTGTTGAAAAGCTTTTAGTCAAATCTAAAAAGAACGTTAAAGTTAAGATTTAAATATTAAAATATATCTTAAAATCTAATTTATATAAATTAATATGACTAACCCATGGGTAAAATCATTTTTAAGAGTTGATTCTCCTTGTGTTCAGCCAAATAATGATGCCAACCTCACAGACTGCTATTCACAAATGTCAATATTCTATAATTTAAAATAACTTTAAATCGCCAAAGAAAATAATCAAATACTGCTATTTAAATAGAAATAAAACCTAGGCATCTTTTGTGGTATTTTGGCTAACTAGATCTGGGCTACCCACATTTAATCATGGGTAAACATACATATAATAAAATTAATTCTTACTATGAAAAAGACATAACTTCAGAGTGGCCTTGTTATGGTAAATTTTACTCAGAAACATTCTAGATTCAGTAATTTATCAATAATTAGAAGTGTCTGTGGAAAATAATGGTTTTTCCCACCCAAAATATTGGTACTAGGTGTATAGGATGAGACATTCTAGTTATCTTCTGTTTCATGTTCTTGTTTATTCATCACAGAAACATAATACCTCAGGGCTAGATTTTTCTGTCACTTTCTTAACGAGATGCTTCATTCTCTGATATGAGATACCTCTGAATCCTGGCGAGGATAGTGGCAGGATAAGGAGCATCTAGAGCAGAACTCATTTTGATTTACAGTGAAAATGCTTTGTGTTTACTTGAGGCTACTATTTGCCAGGCTTAATGAGGATTTTACTTAGTCCCTAAATGAAAACTGATTCATTACTGAATGTCTTAAGCTGAAAAATATATTCTTTCTTATCAGTGAGAGATTAATAAAAGCCAATATTCTATACTTGTCAGGCAATTTAGCGTAACAGTTAATCCTGAGGATCAGCATGTTCTAAAGTTCTCTTGTGTCTATTTAATGTCTGACAATGATTATCAGGTGGCCGTACATTATATATTAATCTAAATGTGGCTATCCTCACACGTGCACTGCAGACAGATTAGCTTGCCAATTTAATTGTACTCATACTTCTAAAAATTACCAATACTTCCTTATTACAAAGAAAATCCACTTGAAGAAGCTGTCTCAAATTAAAAGACATGTTTTTCATAGTTAAGGCATACAATTTTCACATCACTCCTTGAAAAAATAAACTCATAAATCTATCGCGGGTTTTTACACAATGAGCAGCTATATAAACTTATACTAATTATTTCTGTAATTGTTTTAGAAAACGTGGCTATTATGAGGAAAGCATTTGAACTAGAAATAACAAAGAATGAAAGAAGCATACAAGATAAAATTTGGTGAAATGTAAATATTCTGTAAATATATCATTTCTATGTCCAAGCATTAAATTATGGCATGTTTCAAATTATACATATATTATATCTATGTTCATATTATATATATTTTTTATATATATATATAATACTTTCTTTCTTGGTCTGCTGTTGTTTTACTCCCTATTATCAACCTTTTATTCTAATTACTACTGTTCTAATAATAAAATTCACTTAGAAACTGTGTTATTCTTATAATTATCAGCTATAGAAAGGCAATTGCAATTATTTTATTACTTAAAAAAAATCAGTGCTTGATATCAACAGATAGATTACTACCTAATTATGAGTAGGGCATAAAGGTTAAAATTTACAATTATGGAAGTGTTAACATGTTGCACAGAAAGTTACCTTGAATCAAGAAGAATTTCAAGTGGTTGTTTACACAGACTAGATTAAAAAATATAATATGAGCACTATACACATCCATCCATCCATCCAATTATCGAAACATGTGCATTGACCAATTTAAAAATTACATACTAAGTTATAAAAATACTAATTATGTATACATATGTAATAAAGTTGAAACAAGTGATCATTTGTTATAAACATGAGACACTGTTATGAGTCCAAAATATCTTACTTAATCTTAACCAAAGATGAATCAAGAAAGCCTTGTAATTTATGAGATAATGTGAAGAGGAATATAAACCAAAACATGCTATACCTACAACATATCGCAGTCATTGTCATCATTGTTCTGTAGAAAACAATGCTATATAACATTTGCCTTTCATTACTATTTTTATATCAAATGCTTTTTATAAATTAAGATTCATAAAAATCAAAAGGAGAGAGGCAGACAATCTCTGGAGTATTATTTCTGCATAAGTAATACTGATTGTTTAAAGACTAGCTATATTTTGAAAACAAGAGTTTAAAGGTCTGTTTTCTTGTGTGTTTTTTAATGATTTGAGTTACTGTGAGTCAAAATGAAATTAACTTTAAAGATTATTGAACAATTTACACCAGTAAGAGTACTTTTATAGTTACATCAAAATTGTCACAAGTAAATTCATTATAAAATACTATAGACGATAAAAGAGAAATAAAATAATTGAATGTTCTCATGTGCTTTAACCTCAAATTTTTCATTATTTACTTTTAATATAAAGACAAATTTAAAATGATTTTCAGTATCCCTGATATTAAAGATGTTTTTTAAACCCACAAAAAAGAATGAGAAAAGACTGCTATCATATGGTCAAATGCATCCTAATCCACTGATATTCACAGAGAAAATGTCATAATTTTATGAAAGTATTAAGGTTTATTTACAGTGCTACAGTTTCAGTATTTTATCCAGAAAAACCTTATGTGATAAAAAATTTTCTACTCCAACAATAGACAATTTTAAAATACAGCAGAAGCAGATGATACTGACAAATATCAGACAGAATTCTGAATGAAATCTCTTGGAGCTTCAATTTTCACATACATAACTTGGGGGCCAGTTATTTTACTACTCACAAAGTTAATGTGCTTATAAAAATGCATTAGAAAAAATTATAAAGTGTCATATCTATGCACTTGGCAGACTTTTTGTTGTTGTAGTTGTCATCGTTATCAGTATTAACATTAGTCATCTGTTTCAGAATGGGTTAATAACACTTCATTCCAGATAGACTGAGCCTTTTGAGAGAAACTTATAACACAGAAGTGACACACAGAAAAGCACACAAATTCTTTTGGTTGAGAGTAGAAACAGGAAAAACAGATTTACATTAAAAAAAACAAAACAAAACAACTGTAAGCCAAGTCATTAGTTTTATACAAACTACTTTCCCTGGGATACCCTAAGAAAAGTCCAAGACTTATAGTAACAATGCCCGATAGCTGTGTCACCTTTTAAACTTGGAAAACATGTTCACATAGATCCTACTCATCCCTTCTTCTTTGAGATGAATATTACTACTCCCAATTTCACAGAGGAGGGATTAGGTGTGAGATGCTAAATGACTTTCCAGACTCTCAGTAATCTAATGATAGTCACTGGACTCCAGAACAATGACCTGAAAACCATGCTACTGCCGTCTTGAGAGAGCGTGAGTCATACATTTCATGGTCACTCTGGGAAACTGAGTTAATTCACTCTGTTAGGTTCTCAGGAGTACTGTGATGATCTGAGAAGGTAAAGACCAGCTGTGAAATATCTCAGTGGCCCGGGATTCATTCAGTCATGGTGTGGATCAGGCATTCCAAGGAGGTTCTGAATTTAAATTAACATTTCATAACCAGGGCCTCTCACCCCAAATTGGCATGCAGGAATCAGAAAGATCAATCTCTGAACATAAGGAAGAAGGAGTAATAGGGTGAATGAATATTTATACGGAGACTATTCCCAAAGAAAAAAAAACACAAACAGCCTGTTTTAATTCAACCCACATATAAATCTCCAACTTAAGTATAATTGCCATCTATGGATCAAGTCTATTTAATAAACGTTATTTAATATGTTGAATGATATTGGTTATTAGCACTAATTTTACAGAAATATTGATTAACTTAACAAGATGTGTTATGATGACTGCCAGGGAGGAAACACATAATCACATGATTAGTAATAGGATACAGAATCAGTTGCTGCTAACTAATTCATTCCTGTATGGTTCATAGCAGTATAAGAACAAAATTAGTTAAGCATGAGAATGAAAAAGTCATCTCTGGGCAAAATAAGTTCCTTTATTTGTGACAGCATACTGCAGCATATAGTAAACATGACATATTTGGGTTTATGTGTATGGCAATTATTCAGATAAGTTCTTATTATATATGAAATAAATTAATCAGCCTCTTTTCTGCTAAATTCAATAAAGTGATGTTTGTTTTAACTTCCATTATCCGGATAAAAATTAGCAGCCCCTTATCCCATGTTTGGTTACAACATATTTATAGATGAAGTAAATAAAAATGAGCCTTAAATATAACAATAGTTTAAAACATTTTCACAAACTAGACATATAAGGATGGTATGGTTGGTTCCACAGCTCTACTA